GGTTTTTATAAGTTTTGATCTATACTATTCTTCATTACAAATTTTGTTTTGAGGTTGTTATGAATTTGATTCGTATGTATATTAAGTATTATCATTCTAAATTCTGTTATAATAGGTTAAATTGTAGTTCAAGAGAGTTTTTTATAAATATAATGAATAGAAAAGCTATGATTGAGTATATAAAATCTGCTAAAGATGATAATTCTCATAGACAAAATAACTCTGAATCATGTTTGAAATCTGCTAAAGATATCAGTTCAGATAGACAAAATAATCATGAATTGTATTATGACAAAAAACTATAGTCTGCTCAACAATACTCACAGGCTTCATATTCTCTTCAAGATTTATATTCTTTTTATAACCAGAATATTATACATTTTATTTAGATAAATTATATATTGGTAAATGATGATTTGACTTATTCAACTTTATAATATTTAACAAAAAGTTGCTTGCACTTAGACTCTATCTACTTTTTATGATCAACATGTAACTTCATCAGTAAATGATATATCAATAAACAGTTTTATTGAATCTTCATATAATTATCAAGTAATGCAAGATTATTTATATTCTTAACAAATATAGATATTATTGAGTCTTTAATTGACAAATTAATAATATATACTTATTTACTTATAGCATTAGATCTAGTTTGTATCTACCTGATCAAATAATATGAGATTATTTATACTCTCAACAAATGTAGGTATTATTAAGTCTTTAATTAACAAATTAATAATATATACTTATTTATTTATAATATTGGATCTAGTTTGTATTTACCTAGGCTTGAGTTTAGCTTAGAAAATGACAAATCAAAATTAATGAACAACAATCAAGATAAAGTCAGTGATCAAAATAAACTTTTTGATATCGATTTCTCAGATGAAGAAAATAATATAGTACTATCTAGATTATATAAAGGGCAAAGTTTTCAACTATAGAAGGAAGCTAAAAAATATTTTGATGATCATCAGCAAAATTTAAAAGGTGCTATATATCAATAGTAATCTCTTAAATTATAATTGATATACAACCCCCTGCTGATTATTATCATTAGTAATTACTAACGATATATAACAAAAAATTTGTTAAATTTTTTTAAACTTTAACATTAATTTTCTCAATAACTATCAATCCAAATTAGCTCAAATTTTTACCACATATAGTATATATATTCAATTATAATATAGTAAAATTTCAGCCAATTTGAATTAATAGTTCTTGAGAAATCATTTATTAATGATAGTTAATTTTTTTAAAAAAATTAACTATTGTTAACA